TTTTGGATTCTTATTAGTACATAGAAATACAATGAATCTATTAATCTTGTCTCCCACGACTTTGCTAAACTCATTAGTTCCAGTTGTGTGCATACATGTTCCTTAGAATTCGCTGTGTATAGGACCGTGTCATCTACGGGTAAAGACATTTTTCCTTTCCCGTATGTATGTTTTTGGGTTTTTTTTTTTTTTTTTTTTTTTTTTTTTGCACCTCATTGCATGGCCAGTGCAGTGCTGAGCAGAGCAGCAAAGGCAGACATCCTTGCCTTGCTCCTGGTGTAAGAGGGAAGCATTGTCGTTCACCATTATGAGACCAGCCGTCTGTGTCCATAGGTGCTGTGGTGGCTGAATAACACTCCCACCAACAGCATCAATGTCCTGACCTCTGGGGCCTGTGATCATGTCAGGTTACAAGGTAGAGGGGAGCTGAGGTTGCTGGTCGGCTGACCTTAAATAGTGAGAGTGGTGTGGGTGTTCCAAGTGCACCCAGGGTGATCACAGGGTCTGTACAAGGGGAACAGGGATTCATAAGATAGACATGTGTGACAGCGACTCAACCAGCTGTTGCTGGCTCTTAAGATGGGGGAGGGGCCACAGCCCAGGAATGCAGGTGCCTCTACAAGCTCGAAAGGGTGAGGACGCAGTCTCTCTCCTGGAGCCTCCTGAAGGAGCCAACCCTGCCCACTTCTTGATTTTCACCCAGGGAGACCCATGTCAGACTTCTGAACTCAAAACTTTAAGATAAAACTGTGTTGTTTTAAATCACTCAGGTGTGATTTATTACAGCAGCACTAAGAAACTGGCACAGAAGCCCTTTATCAGATTGAGGGAGCTCCCTTCTCCCAATTTGAGATTTTTATCATGAACAGGTGTTAGATTTGTCAAATGCTCTCTGCCTCCACTGAGGTGATCTTATGGGGTTTGTCCTTTGTTCTGTTGATAAGGCCTGTTACACTGATGTTTAACCTACCTGTCATAAATCCCATGGTGTATATTGTTGCTGAATTTGGGTTGCTAATATTTTAAGGATTTTTACATCTGTGTTCACAACAGACATTGATCTGCAGCTTTTGGGGCAGGGGGATGTCCTTCTCTGCCTTTGGAATGAGGATGATACCAGCCTCAGACTGAGCTGGCAGTGTTCCCTCTTCTGTGTTCTGAAAAAGGTTGTGAATGACCGTTGTTTTTATTCAATTTCTTGTTACAGGTCTATTCAGATTTTCTATTTCTTTTTGAGTAAATTTAATTTGTATCTTTCTAGGAATTAGTCCATTTCATCTAAGTTATCTAACTTGTTGGTACAGAGTTTTTCTAGCATTCCCATGTAAGTCTTGTTAATTTCTGTAAGATCAGTAGTGACCCTCTTTCCTCCATGATTTTGATAATTTATGTCTTCTAATTTTTTGGTCTAGTCTAGCTAATGGTTTGTCTATTTTGTTGATCTTTTCAAATAACTAACTTTTGGTTCTTCTGTTTCCTATTACACTGATTTCCTCTCTAATCTTTTTCTTCACTTCTGCTTCTTTTGGGTTTCGTTTGTGACCAGTACAAGGATCCAAAACCCTGACCTTGGTGTTACAGCACTGCGTTCTGACAAAGTGAGCCAGCCGCAGCCCTTGCTCTTTTCTTTAGTTGCTCAAGCTAGACACTTGCATTTTTTATTTCAGACTTTTGTTTTCTCATATAGGTGTTTAATGCTATAAATCTCCCTCTGAGCACTGCTGTAGCTGCACCCCCAGTTTTAATATTCTATTTTTATTTTCACTCTTTGACCCACACGCCATTTGGAAATGTTTTAATTTCCAAACACTTGGGGTTGCTCTAAACTTTTCTGTATGGATCACTAATTCTGCTGGGGTTAGAGAACATACTCTGTATAATGATAGTCTTTTTACATTTTATTGTGACGTGGTGTGTAGCCTAAGATATGGTCTGTCCTGGAGAATATTCCCTGAGCATCTGAAGAGGACGCTGGTGACGTGTTCTGTAAACAGCTTAGGCTCACTCTCTGTCTCCTTGCTGATGTCTGTCTATTTGTTCTTCCAGTTAGTGAATGAGGCATTAAAATCTCTCTGAGTGTTGTTGCTGAAAGATGAAATTATCCTCTCGATTCCTCCAGTTCTTCGTATGCTGCTGCCTGCCCCACCACCCCTGCCCGCTCAGATCAGACGTGAGGCATTCATTGCATCCACAGAGGACTGTTAGAACAGAAAGTAATTATTGGTTGATAAGATAAATTACAGTGTTGTAGAGTTTAAGAAGTCAAGGTTCTGGCCTAAGAGTATCTGCTGGAAAAACTCTCTGAGCTGGGTCGTGGGGTGCAGGGTGGTGGGAGAAGGAAGCAACAGAGGGGGCTTGCATCCTGCCTTCTCACACATGCCTGGGCATCAGTGGAGCTCACGGTGGGTTGGCGGTTCTGAGAGCAGAGGTGACCCCTAACCTTACACCCCTGCTGCTGAGGGAAGCCATCACTCGAGCAGAACGAGCTGTGGCCAGGGGCATCCTGCAGGCAGGACTGTCCTCTGGGATCTACAGTCCCCCTAGGCCAGGCTCTCTCCTGGGTCCATTGAATTTGACTCTTTCCTGGCCTCTCTGCTGCTCCACTCAAACGGTTATCTGTAGAGGTGGGTCTGAGAAGGCTTCTGCAAAGAATCCCCTCCTCTTAGAGTGCTGCTGACAGGTCAATGTGATGATGAAGTTTTACATTACACCAGAGACATGTGGGCGCACAGTGTTGTACCAACTGCCACTGAGCTGTGCATCTGGTTTTATGTTGTGTGAATCTCACCTCAACTGAAAAGAGTAAATAGTTTTTCTAGTTTCAGATTAGCAAACTACAGTCACTAAAGTCCTAAGCTGTCTTACAGCCGGAGAGAATTTTACCACACTGGGAGTTGTGCATGACGACACAGCAGGTCATCTGCAGGAATGTGGAGACCTGCTGGCAGCAGACTGCAGGGGGCCCAGGTGCCTGGTCTGCAGGAAGTAGGACCACACCAAGGGGGGAGAAGCCAGACAATGAGGCGCCCAAGGGATGGGTGGGCTTGACCCAGAGGCAGAAGCCAAGTGTCAGACGAAAGGCACCTGGATGTGGCCTGGAGAGAGACACAGCACCCCAGACCACACTTGGCCAGGGACACGGGGACCAGAGCAGTGGAATAGCACTTTAAACGTAAAAATCCTCCGAGTGAGGCAGGAGCAAGTCACAAAGACAGCACCCGGGCGTGTGTTCACATTTGATGCAATAACATCAGCTCACCTCAGACACCTGTGCACGTGTCAGAGAAGAAATCAAAACGGAAGGCAATGAAAGTCCAACACAGCCATGTTGTGGCACACAGCACTGGACACTGCAGGGAATCCTTAGCCTTACGTCCGCACCAGGAAGGTGAGAGAGGCCCGCAAGCTTGGCATTCAGTGCCTCTGGACATCATCCTGTGGGTCCCTCCTCGAACTGCTCTGACTTGCAGCCTCTATGTTAAAACTGTCACCAAAAGCATGGCACAAGGGCCGGCCCGTGGCTCACTTGGGAGAGTACAGTGCTGATAACACCAAGGCCACGGGTTCGGATCCCTATATAGGGATGGCCAGTTAGCTCAATGGGTGAGCATGGTGCTGACAACACCAAGTCAAGAGTTCAGATCCCCTTACCGGTCATCTTTAAAAAAAAAAAAATGGTACGTTCCTATGTTCTGCGAGTCATTCTAGCAAATTGATGAATCTGAGGGGATCGTGGGAACCCTGGAACTTGTAGCCAGTAGATCAGAAGTGCAGGTGGCTTGGGACCCCCCAACTCACAGCTGGTGTCTGAGGTGTGCTAGCCTCGCTTGGCCTTCAGGGTCTGCGCTAACTGGGCAGTGGGTGTCAGAACTGCACTATAGCATCAAAGACCCACAAGTGGACTGACAAACAGCACATCCACATTGCAGTAAGTCCCTCTTCCCACCCTAGTGTGTCAGCAGCAGTGCAGTCCACATCCCAGACAGAAGCACCCTGACAAGCAAGGGCCTGGAACAGCCAGAGTCTACTGACAAAGAAGGTGGGCCAGGGTCCCTCCCTGATGATGAGGAATCATTCTAAAGCTAGTGACATCAGGACAGACAGACCTGCTGACAGAGCACACGGAACAGTCCACACCCACAGAAGCTGGCAGTACAGACAAGGGGCAGGAATACCTGGGTGTCCATCCCCCATGGGAGGAAACAAAACCAGGCACCAGGCACAAAAAGCATTTTCATGTGAATTATAAACCTAAATGTAATAAGCAAAACAAGAAAGCTATTGAATTAATGTCAGGGTAGGGAGAGAGTTGTCAAACTGGACACATAAGCATTTCCTGTGGACGAAGCATACACACTTGACTTCATTAAGTTACGAATCTCTACTCCACAAGACAGCTGCAGGAAGCCAGCAATGAACTAGCCACGCATGACAAAAAATACGTAAAACACGCAACACAAAGCAAAGGACGTAAAATAGGATATACATAAAGAACTCAATTTTGAAGCCACTCTGAGAAAGCTAGGGGAGGACAAGCACACAAGAAGTCCCCGACCTCTCCAGCAACCAGGTGAACACACATTAAAACCCCTGTAAAATACCACTTCACGCCCCCAGGTGGACAGAAATTAGTGGGTTCAGTACCAAGTGCTGACGAGGGTACAGAGCGACCGCACTGTGTTGACCCCATGGTGGACTAGAATGGGCTCCGTTGTTTCAGTGCATGGGCCAAAGTTATCCAAATTTGAAAATGCACTTTCTCTATGGCCAGCAATTCCACTCTGACTGTACCCCAAGGAGTCCCTTCCACAAGAGTAGCGGGGCCGCACTATTTGCAGCAGCAAGAGACGGGGCCCCACCCCCACGTCCCACCGCAGCAGGTAAACAGGGCGGCTCAAGCGCACCCACCAGCTGCCACATTGGCAGTGGCCAGCAAGCCCCGATCCACACTGCGCTGGGGGGGTAGTGGGCACGGTTTTCATGTTCACACACTTTCTAGGTATTTTGTTCCTATGCTTTATTACCAGTCATTTAAACATGCCACACCACGGCAGTAGTCGGGGTCACGGGACGGCGGGGAAACCTGGCAGGCTAAGCCGAGGAACACGCACACCCATAGACAGCCCTTCTGCCCAGGGAAGCCCGGCCTGCACAGGAGGCACTTGAGCCCACAGCAGGCCCACGTGTGTCTCTGGCTACTGCAAGCATCAGAAAGCAAGGTACAGAGTGGCACATATCACAGCGCCGCTCCCAGGAAGGGGCTGTGCAGGGTGTACCACAGTGCAAGGTACACCTACACGCGGGCACTTCCCGTTCCGTGATGCAGGGCAGGGGCCTGGAGGCCACAGGGAGCTTTGCTCCATCTGTAAAGTTTATTTACACAGGAATGAGCTTGTGCAATTCTCATGCAATTTTAAAATGTCCTGGATCCCAAACCCACAGCTGAGCAGCCCATGCAGCAGCTGCAGAGCCCTGAGCTGGAGGGTGGCACACAGAAAACCGCACTGTCATTATCGAACCGGCTGCAGGCCCATCCCTAATGATGCTTGTTGCAGATCAAAGGCAACCTTCCAGAATCCCTTTGTCCATACAGGACCCTGTGGTGGTGCTGCCCCTTGGGTCTGGGCTGCACACCTGGAGACTCATCCTTTCCTCCTGACTCAGGGCCCAGGTGCTGCCTCTCCCTGCCCCTCCCCTCTTGGACCCCCCACCCACTCTGCCTGTGATGTGACTCAGTGGGGCTGAGCTGGAAAGGACGCGTGCCACCCACCCAGCTCTCTGGGATCCAGGACCAGACTGAGGTCACAGACCAAGAGCCAGGCCTGGGAGGGCAGCTTCATGGCCGGTGATCTGCGTGTTCTCAAGCAGAAGAGGAGGGAGTGGCTGCAGGGCAGGGACACCCTCCTAGAGGCCTCGGGATTGGACCATGAACAGGGGTCGTGAAGGTGTCAACTGTCATGGTTCTGACAGTCACATCAGCACCTGGCCGAGGCCACAGCAAGGACACCCACTCACCACTGACAGAAGTCATGGTGCCCATCAGCTCCTTCGCTGGAATGAGGCAGTGTACCCCACTGTCCCTGGGGACTTCTCAGGACAAGGCAGCCTCTTGGGGGTAGTCTCCTTCAACCTCAGCCCGCCACACCCAGACACATGCTGGGAACTCCCCCAAGGACAGGAAACAGCCCCCAAGTGCAGGCTCAGCCACAACACCAAGCCAGGAGCCTCCAGGCCCGGGCAGAGGACTTGGGCAAGGGAGCCATTGATGTCCCTGACCCAGGAAAGTGCTCACAACTTTTACTGTGCCCAGGCTGGGAGGGGATTCTGCTCTCAAAGGCTTGAATCCATTCTTTCCATGTCAATATGACACAGAACCATAAAGGTATTAATTCCTTTCCAGGGGGGCATTACCCCTCTAGGCGGCAGACAGACAAGGTAGATCGGAGGGAAAGTCGAGGAGGAGGACCCGAGGGCAAAGACAGGCATCTGCTTCCTCCCCACAGAGCCAGGAAAATGGGGGAAAAGGGGCAGCTCTTGTTGAGGCATCCCACCCACCCACCCCCACCATGGGTAAGGACCAGAGAGAATGCACAGAATCTGCAAGCGGAGGTTACAGGAATAAATACTTTTTAAGCCTCTCATAAATATGCATTAGAACATTTGAAAACATAGGCAAAGTGCTCTGCAATTAATTTAAAATCAAATCGAGACTGTGCTTCCTGCAAGGCTAGCCAGAGAGTTGATTACCTAAAACATCCTAAGCTCACAGGCCCCTGAGGGCAGTGGCCACCTCAGTCGCGGGGCACCTTGAACTGGTCCTTCTCTCTGCGGAGGGCCCTCATGGTGGTCACAGGGTCTGTCTCACCCGCATGCTGCTGCACCGTCTTCTCCCTGCAGAGACGATGCTGGGCTGCAGGCTGCACACAGAGTGCAGGGTGCCTGGCAGGGTCAGACGTGCCCCCAGAGGTAACTGCGACAGCCCACGGCCAGCTTGGGTTGTCTGCATGGTGGCCACTCCCAACCTCATGGAGAGCAAGAAGACACCACTCGGTGCTGCCCAGGGCCTGAGGGAGTGGTGCCACCTCTTACGGATCCTGGGATCCTGGATTGGAAAGGCCCTTGCCAAGAAAATCCACCGCCACCCCACTTTTAAGAAAAATAGTCAGGCTCTTCAGCTACACTCAGTAAAGACCACTTTGGACCTGAGACCCAGCTCAGCTGTCTGCTTGAAGTAAACTCACCACGGCCGTGACGTGGGGACTGGGCGAGCTGCCTCACCTCACTCTCATGAAGGGGTTGTAGGTGAACTCCTCCGCCATGGTGGATGGCACCGTAGGCTCCCCAATGCTGTACTTCTCCTACAACAGACGCGGCCCTTTAATGTAGAAACTTCTGAAGATGATGTTTCAAAAAACCTTCTAAGGATCTTAAACCACAGCCCAACCTATAAGGCACAGTGAACAGAGCCAGTTCCTGATTTTCCACTAAGAGCAAGGCCAGGCCATTCCTTGCCCGTAGAGAAGGGAGAAGCCTGGGTGTGTCCACGCTAGGGGTGAGCTGTCACTGTCCCTGCATCCCTCCTTCCCTGGCTCTCTTGGAGGTGGAGAGAAGGGACGGAGCTTTCTTTCTGTTAATATGAAGTTATGTCTACTACACATTAACAATTAGTCTCATTAATTATATATGTTAACATAGAAGTGATAACTAGCAAAATGTAGAAAACACAGAAAAGAACACAGCCCCACGGCCCAGGCAAGCACGTGTGGGGAGGAATGATGAGGTGGCAGGTGCTGGGGCCCTACCTGGGGCAATGGACCCTCCTCTTGGGGAGGAGGACCCAAGATGAGCCCTGGGAAGGCCCGGGAGCCCTTGCAGGCAGCTCAGCATCTCAGGATGGTCTCCTTCTACCAACACTGACCGGGACAGACAGAAGAGGAGCAAACCCAGCCACTACACTCACAAGGGAAAATGGCAGGGGGTGGTTAGCCGTCAGAGCCAGACAGGAGCTGCTGGCACCCACGCCCAGGCTTCCTGACCCAAGGGGTCCTCAGACCCAAAGATCCGCAGCCCCACCCACCTGCTGGGTGCAGTGCATCAAGTAGGGGTCTGGAGGGAGTGTTGTATAACACTCCCTGTGCTTGCTCCAATACCCTTACTCCTCCTAAGAGATATTCCTCCACCTTCTGTGAGGGAAGAAAAGTTAACTCTTCTAGGAATATTTTTAAAATGGGTCTTTATGTGTATTATTGGGGGAGTGTAAAATGCCATAACCTTTTGGATTATCTATTAAAATGAGCACTAACACTGTAGCAGTTTTTCCTATGAAAGCATGGAGCATGCAGAAATATAAAGACTGACATGTACAGCTACTCATTGTGGCATTCATAAGAACAATCCCTTCCTGATGGGACTGGCAGAATGACAGGTGACACCCACACATAGTATACTTTATACCTATTAAAAAAGAATAAAGGATGGGTGGACAGACACAATAAAACAAATACGGTAAAATGTTAATGGTAGAAAATAGGTGTTAGGAATGTGAAATTCTCACAACAAAATGTTGAAAAGGCTAAAAAGTTTAACATAATTCAGTATAATCCATGTGTCAAAGAAAAAATCACGAGGGATTTTTTTTTTTCCTAAAATTTCAAATTGAAGATAATGAAAATACATTATCAACATTTGTGGGATGCTGCTAAAGCAGTGCTTGGTGGTAAGTTTTCAGCTTTAAGTACTTATATTAGAAAAGCAGAAAGGTCTAATATCTATGTCCTCAAGTTCCACATTATGAAACCTACAAAAATCAGAGCAAATCTAAAGTAATTAGAACAAAGGAATTAACAAAGACTGGAAATCGGTGCAATAGAGAAACAATCAGTAGGAAAAATCAAGGCAAAAGTTGTTTTCTTAAAAGATCAACAAAATTGATAAGACTGATGAAGAAAAAGAACAGAAATAGGCAATATCAGGAATGAAAGAGGGGACATCAGCATGAATCCAACAGACTGGGCGAGGGATCATGTTGATCTAAATTTAAAAGATAACTATAAAACTTCCAAAAAAAAATTGGAAAAAACTTCCTGACCTTGGGATAGGCAAAGATTTCTTTTCTTTTCTTTTTTTTCCTTTTGTTTTTTTTTTTTGTCTTTTTTCGTGTCCGGCAATGGATCGCAACCCTCAGTGTCGCGCCCGTACCAGACCGGGACCGGCAACGGGATCGCAACCCTCGGTGTTGCGCCCGCACCTCACTCAGCCAGTGAGCGGGAACCGGTCTGTATGTGGGATCCGAACCCTCAGCGGGAGCGCCACCGTGCTCCCATGCGGCGCACTGTAGCAGTGCGCCACCGGGCCGGCCCAGCAAAGATTTCTTTGACAGCAGAAAATAACTATGAACCATAGAAGAAAATTAATATATTAGACTTCATCAAAATTAAAAATGCTTGCTCTTCAAAAGACATTGTTGAGAAAATAGAAGGCAAGCCACGGAACAGGAGAAATTATTCACAATACACATCTCACAAAAGACTTGTATCTAGAAGGTGCTTTTAAAAGACTGATAAGGGCCGGCCCGGTGGCGCACTCGGTAGAGTGCGGCACTTGGGAGTGCGGCGGCGCTCCCGCCGAGGGTTCGGATCCCATATAGAGACCGGTCCACTCCCTGGTTGAGCGCGGTGCGGGCGCGACACCGAGGGTTGCGATCCCATTGCCGGTCGTGGTACGGGCGCGACACCGAGGGTTGCGATCCCATTGCCAGTCGTGGTACAGGCGCGACAACGAGGGTTGCGATCCCATTACCGGTCACGAAAAAAGACAAAAAGGAAAAAAAAATTTAAAAAAATAAAAGACTGACAATACCCAGTGTTGGCAAGAATGTAGACCTGGAACTCTCACACTTTTCTGGTGAGAATGTAAAATAATACGAGGGTACCTGGAAAGTAGAATTAAAAGATAATACAAATCTTTCCATAAACTTTTCAAAGTGCTCTCGTATGAGCACTTAGGGAAAAAGTTTGGCAGTTTCTTTAAAAGTCAAACACATCCTACCATACAACCCAGCCATTCCAACTCCTGGGTATTTACCCAGGAAATTAAAATATATGTCACACAAAGACTTGTACATAAATATTCTTTTTTTTTTTTTTTATTAAAGATGACTGGTAAGGGGATCTTAACCCTTGACTTGGTGTTGTCAGCACCATACTCACCCAGTGAGCGAACCAGCCATCCCTATATGGGATCCGAACCCATGGCCTTGGTGTTATCAGCACCACACTCTCCCGAGTGAGCCACAGGCTGGCCCCTGTACATAAATATTCTTAGCAGCTTTATTTACAATAGCCAATAACTGGAAATAATGTCTATTGACAGGAGAACGGACAAACATAATATGGTATAGCCAAACAATGGAATACTAAGCAATAAAAAGGAATGAACTACTAAAACATGCAGCAAAATAAATGAATCTCAAAATCATGTTGAGTGAACTATGCGGAATGAGTACATCTATATAAAATCCTCGAGCATGGAAACCAAGCTCTGGTGACATACAACAGATCAATGGTTATCAGGAGCTAGGGCAGACAGAATGAGGCATGAGGACACTTTGGGGGATGATGGAAACATTCTGTTTCTTAATTATTGTGGTGGTTGTTTCCTTTTCAAAATTCATTGTTCACTTTAAATGGATTGCAGTTAATTACATGTGAATTAAACCTCAAAGATGATATTAAAAAGGGGAATCTTATGAAAACTATGCCAATAAACTTGAAAACCATGATGAACAAATTTCTTGAAAAAGACAGTTGCTAACAAAACTGACTCAAGAAGAGAAATTTAACAACCCTATACAAATTAAAGACATTGAGTTCACAACAAAAAATCTTTCCACAAAAAGAATTCCATGGCCAGTTGGCTTCACTGGTGAATTCTAACAAACATTTAAAGAATAATCACATAAAAAACATGGAAAATGGGAGGAAACACTTTCCAACTCATTACCCTGATATTAAGACCAAGCAAAGCTATTACAAGGAAATAAAACTACAGACAAATATTCCTCATAAACACAGACACAGAAGGAGAAACTAGAAATATACTATAAAAAGGGCAAATACACCATGACTAAGGTTTATCCAGATAGCAAGGTTGGTTTAACATTTTAAAATTGATCCATGTCTACCATATTAAGAGTGAAGAAGAAATACCATATGATTATATAATAGGTAAAAGAAAAATCATTTAGCAAAATTTAATACCCACTCATGATAAAAAAAAAACTCTCAGCAAACCAAGAATAGAAATGAACTTCCTCAGCCTGATAAAGAGGATCTACAAAAAAATCCCACAACTAATATCATACTAACGATGAAAGACAATGTACTTCCCCTAAGACTGAGAACACAAAAAGGATGTCCACTCTTATCACTTCTATTTAACACTATACTGGTGATCCTAGCCAGTGCAATATGGCAAGAAAAATAAAAGGCATACAGACTGGAAAGGAAGAAATAAAAATATTAGATGACATGATTGTGTACTAACTAATCTATGAATAAAGATGCTAGAACTAAGAGTTTAGCAAGGTTACAGGATACAAAAAGTCAAAATACAATAATCAGTTGTATTTCTAAGTACTATCAACAAATAATCATTTACAATAAAATCCAAAAACATGAAGTAGTTAGGGATAAACTTAACAATATGTACAAGACTTTGAACACGAAAAATCACAAAACATTGCTGGGAAAAAAGGAAAATAATGACCTCAATAAGTGGAAAGCTACCTCAAGTTCACAGAAAGACTTGCTGTTGTTAAGATCCCAATTCTCTCCAAATCTATCATAAGAACAGAGTCCCAAGCTGGCATTTTTGTAGAAATTAACAAGACAATTCTAAAACTTATGTGGAAATACAGGGGACTTAGAAGAACCAAAACTATTTCAAAAAAGAATAAATTTAGAGGGTTTATACTACCTGATTTCCAGACATAAAGCTACAGTAATAAAGACTATGCTTTGATACAAGGTTGGTCACATAGATCAATGAAACAAAAGCTTCCAGAAGAAGATTCACACACACATACAGTACATTTCTTTAAAGCAAAGGTGCCAAGGTAATCCAATGAGGAACAGATAGTGTTTTCAGCAAATAGTGCTGAACTGGATATCAAAATGCAAAAAAGTGAAACTTGACCTTCATCTTATGGAGGAAAATGAAGGAGAACACATGTTAAAGATGGAGGCACTTTTGCTCTCCAGGATTTAGACCGTCTCAGCAGAAATGCAAATAGACTGGGTCAGCAAGAATTTGCAAGGCTTAACCACAAACCACAGACTTCCTATTGAGTTACCTAGGAGATGAGGAGGTGTGGGAAGCGTTTATAGCTGGCTAAAACATATATAATACCTGTTTGGAGACAATAAAGTTGCTTAGTGCATGTGCTAAGCCCCAAACTTTGTGTCTGGTTTCTGGTTGCCCACCTCCCTAGGCGACAGCCCCTAGCTCAAGGAGTGGCCTGAGCAACTCACCTTGCTCCACCCTCTTGGCAGGGCTGCGTGCAGCCCTGCTCCCTGGGGGACTCCTGGCAGAGGCTATGTGTAGTCCTGCCTCCTGAGACCCCCAGGACCAAGAGAAAGGTGCATCCTTACACCATACACAAACATTAACTTGAAATGGGATCACTGTAACTTTATATAAAAACTAAGACTATAAAAGTCCTAGGAGAAAACATAAGAGAAAATCTTTGTGACCAAGGAGTACTCAAAGACTTCTTAGATAAGATACAAAAAGCATGAAAGAAAAAAATGAATAAACTGAACTTCACCAAAAGTGTAAACTATTTTTCAAAAGACACTGTTAAGAAAATGGAAAGTCAAGGGCTGGCCTGTGGCTCACTTGGGAGAGCGTGGTGCTGACAACACCAAGTCAAGGGTAAAGATCCCCTTACCGGTCATCTTTAAAAAAAAAAAGAAAATGGAAAGTCAAGCCACAGACTGGGAGAAAATATTTTAGAGATATAATTAGCAAATACTTGTTCCCAGATTACGTAGGAAAGTCTTACAACTCAATAACAAAACAACCCAATTTTTAAAATGTACAAGAGATTTTAACATATATATCACAAAAAGAGGCCACAAAGGGCCAATAAGCATGTGAAGAGACAGTCAACTTAATTAGTCATCAGGGAAATGTAAAGTTTTAAAGCACAAGGAGATACCGCTACACACCTATTAGAATAGTAAAAATTTAAGAAACCAAGTGTTGGCTGGAGTGTGGAGAAACTGGAACTCATGCACTCATAGTGGGAATGCAAGATGGTACAACTCCTTTGGAAAACAGTTTGGTAGTTTTTTGGTTTTTTTTTTTTTTTTTTTTTGTCTTTTTCCGTGTCCGGCAACGGATCGCAACCCTCAGTGTTGAGATTCACTCAAAACAGGTACATTAAGATTCACTCAAAACAGGTACATTAAGATTCACTCAAAACAGGTACATTAAGATTCACTCAAAACAGGTACATTAAGATTCACTCAAAACAGGTACATTAGATCGCAACCCTCGGTGCTGCGCCCGCGCCTCGCTCAGCCAGTGAGCGGGAACTGGTCTGTATGTGGGATCCGAACCCTTGGCGGGAGCGCCGCCGCGCTTCCCAAGCGGCGCACTAGCGCAGTGCGCCACCGGGCCGGCCCTTGGTTTTTTTTTTAAAGATGACCGGTAATGATATCTTAACGTTTGGCTTGGTGTTGTCAGCACCACGCTCAGCCAGACAGCGAACCGGCCATCCCTATATAATAGGATCCAAACCCATGGCTTTGGTGTTATCAGCGCTGCACTCACCCGAGTGAGCCACGGGCCAGCCCCAGTTTGGTAGTTTCTTAAAAACTAAACATACATTTAACCATACAACCCAACAATTCCACTCAGGTATGCACCAAAGAGCAATGAAAACATGTCCACAAAAGATGTGTACACAAATGTTCATAGCAACGTTATTCATAATAGCAAAAACTGCAAACAACCCATATGTCCACAAACAGATGAACTGATAGACAAACTGTGGTCTATCTACACAACAACATACTGCTCAGAAATAAAAACATGAATGGGCTGGCCAGTTAGTTCACTTGGGAGAGTGTGGTGCTAGCAACACCAAGACACAGGTTTGGATCCCCGTATCAGCCAGCCACAAATAAAAAAAAAAAAGAAAAAGAAAAAAAAACATGGATGAATCTCAAACATCGTGCTGAGCAAGAACCACATAAACAATAATATTATACGATTCTGTTTATATGAAACTCTAGAATAGTGACAAAGCAGATCAGTAGTTAGCTGGGGAGTGGGTGCTGAATGGGAAGGGGCAAGAGAGGCTTTTGGGGCAGTGGAAATGTTCTATATCTCGATTGTGGTGGGGATTACATGGGTGTATACATTGTCAAAATCCATCAAACTGCATAAGATTCACTCAAAACAGGTACATTATATGTAAGTTATACTCAAAATTTGTTAAAAGTTATTAAAAGCAGATAACTAAGAAGGAGGTCACAAAATGCTATTATACTATGTATACAGTATGAGTTTTTATACTATTAGTACACGTGTAGCGTAACAAAACAAGAGTATCTTCTGGTGAAGGTACTGTTTGAATTTTTAGAATGAAGATAGATATTATTTTGTAAGCTCCCCCCCAAAATTGAAGAACATGCTTGACAAAAATAGGTGTTTATTAAAAACCACACGCAACAAACCCACCTGAGATAGCACCACTCACTGAACTCTGCAGAGGGGGCCCACCCCAGGCCTCCCTGTGCGCACGTGGCCTAGCGACACTGGTTTCCACTGAGCTACGGGGAGAACCCTCACCTGCTCCTGGCTGCCCGCGGCCCAAATGCCCTGGGCTGTGCCGTCAGGCATGTTTGGAGATCTGGCTGAGGTAAAGGCCTTTTAGACAATGAGCCTCATGGGCCACACCCTGAAGGAACAGCAGAGGCAGTTTCCCCAACAAGGCCACGGCCCATGACAAAACCACATGGTCCCCATCTGACTCGACTGCTTGGGGTGGGACACAGGGCCAGACACCTGCAGCTTCAGCCTTGCCTGGGCGCTTGTTAGAGATGCAGAATCTGAGGCCCACAGGACCCACTGAGTTAGACTGGGTCTCAAAAAGCCCCCCAGGCTTGTCCCACAGCTGAAGCTGGACTAAAACCCAGACTTGTTCACTGGGCTCAGAGGCACAGAGTGTCCACCTGCTTGGGGTGGCACTGTGCACACCAGCAACCCAGGACACTGTGCAGGAGAGCCCCGGGGAAGTCATTTCCTGGTGACCAACCTCATGGGACACACCCCAGTAACCTGTCCCACTAACCTTGGCCCAGGCCAATTTCTCTTGAACGGCAGCATTGTCAGGTTCCACGTGGCGCGCGAACTTGAGGTTGTTGATGGTGTACTCGTGGCCACAGTAGATCTTCTGAAGAAAAGCCAATGCAGGAGCTCTGAAGAGACTGATTAATCCTCCCCTGGAAACTCTTTGGGGAGGGGCCCTGGGAGCCTCCGGGCCAGATCCTGCCCTTGTCCAGACCTGGGTGCCTCATGGGCAGCGGGCACCCATGGAGCCATCCCTCAGGGCTAGACACTTCTTGCGGGTATGTTAAACACCAATATGAAGTATATGAAGGAAATGCCTCTGCCCCTTGCTCTGCCCAGCTCGCAGGTGAGGCCCGTGCAGTGAGACCCGGCCATGAGCGCCTTCTAAGGGTGGCCCAAGGGCTCCAGCTAGACCTGGAACAAGCGCCACAACTGTTGCTGGAGGCTCCTGGGACATGAGAGGTGAGCAGCCCACCTGACATCAGGCAGAGCCCCACCCTGCCCCTGGGGTCCCACCCTCAGTGGGCCACCGACCCCAAGCCAGACAGGGAGGCACTGCCTACTGAGTCTGGAGGAAGCCGGCCCAAGACCTCGAGCAGAGCTTTGTACATCTCATCTGCGGTCCCTTCGTAGAACTTCCCACAGCCAGCCACGAACAAGGTGTCACCTGAAAAAGGAACAGCAGCCACGCCGTGGAGGGGCCAGCCTGGGAGGAGGGCTGGCGGCTGAGACTCAGAGGTGCCGGGAAACTGGGGATGCTGACCTCCCACCGTCAGGGCTGAGCCCTGGGCTCACCAGGCAGAGCCCCAGAACCCCAGACCCCAAATTCCAGCTGCTCTCTGGCCATTTCTACCTAAACATCCCAGCATGGCTGAAAGATGACCCAGAACTCTCCTTTCCCACCCTCCCCCAACCTTCGCCTCAAATCTCCGGTGATACCACCAACCACCCAACTAGCTTTTCAGACATGAAACCTAAGTCACTCTGACTCCTCTCTCACTGCTCCACCCCACCAGCCACAGCTGAGACCCTCACAAACCCTACCTTCTCCCCACCCACCCAGACGCCCCTCCCAGGCCCCTCTGCATCTTCCCTTGTCCTGGCTGGCAGCGCCACCCTGTAACCAAGATCTCACCACCCTGCCTGAGCCCACGAGGAGCCCCTTGAGCAAGGTGGGCAGGAGGGAGAGGCGGGGGGTCCACAGCCCATGTGTCCTACACTTCACAGACTCACCACATCCCCTTTGCCCATCAAAAACCCACCCTCAAGTGGTCCAGGCTCCTTCCTGCCTCGGCCCCTAAAGACAGCTTCCCCCCACTGGATATGCACCCCCCTCCTGCTCTGTGGTCACCCCAACGCTTGGCCAGCGACGAGCACAGCAGAAGCTGTCGCACTTCTGTCTTCCAGGACCCCACCGTCCCTAGCTCCTCCATCACAGCTGAGAAGAAGGGTCGCACTGGTCAGCTCTTCCTGGGGAGCTGTGGGCCCACACCCCAGAGCCATGAGGCAGAGTGGTCATGAGCCAAAGCCACAGAGCTGGGACAGGATGGTGGGAGCCTACGAACCTCGGTACTAAGGCTGTTCCCCTGGATGGCCCTGGACCTCCAGTCTGGGGACAGTGAGAGGCCAGGGAAATCCTAGAGACAGGAAGTGCTGGCCTCGGGCTCTTCCTCCAACTGACCAGTAGCGTCACAGTGGCACATGCCATCGTACATCGCCAGCAGACACCCAGCGTGACCCAGGGGCCTCCATTTCCTGCCCCTGGCAGTTGGGCCTGCCTTTCTCCTGCACAGTCCTTGCTCTCCCCTCCCTTTGCCGCCGAGAGTGCCTGTGACGTCCACCCCACAGCAGGCCAGGCACTGTCCCAGCCTCTGCCCCAGCTGCCTCTCCTCCCTGCACAGCCCTGGACTCTAGGCTCTAGCTCTCCTGCCTCAGTGGACACCCACAGTGCAAGTGTCCTTTGGGCCTCCCCTTCCCTGGCCAGCCGAACTGCCTCAGCGGTCACTGCTGTGAGGTAGGATCCCACACAGGAGATCCTAAACCCTGATCTCTCAAGCACAGACCCCACCCAGGCTTGTTCCCCCAGCACCACCTGCCCTTGTCCGGCCCTGCCCTGCCCAATCTGCCCATCTAGGCCTCAAAGTGCCTTATCCCCCACTAAAGCCACAGGCGACGCCTATCCCTACCCCACGCCCTTCTCTGGCTATCACCTCCCTTCTCCCTCAGCTTGGCTCAGCCTAGGGCTGGGGGGCAGAGCATGGTCCGAGGTCCTGCTAGACAGCTCAATCTCCACTGTTAGGCTTCACTGTTGGTGCCCAGACACCCTGACTTCACCGTGAAGGATGCCGTTCCGTTTTCATGTGCTTATTAAGAGAATAACCTAAGGAAGCCATGTGCTGCACCACAGATAACAGTCACACAAGTGTGGGTGCAGTCTGGGGTTCACGTGCAGTGAGCCTGCATGACACCTTCCAGCAAGGGGTGGAGTCTCAAAGGAGCCGGCCCCATGAGGAGTCACAAGGCCAGCACGACCCTGTGAGGCGGCCTCTTGATGCCATGAGAGCCCCGTGCAGCAGGCGCCACTGTCTGATGGCACGGATGGGAGATCGTGGGGCTATTTGGGGCATCAGACACATGGGCCCTGCCCGCTCCCTCTTACGTGCACCTGCCAAGCACTCGGGGAGGCTTTACCCAAAATGCTGATGACAGCAAAGACACAACACATGCATGAGATCACCTACTCCATGCGACAGCTCGATGAGGCAGAGCCTCTTCTCCCCATTCTATACGTGGGAAAAGGTGAGGCTCAGAGGTGACACAGGTGCCCAGGGTCCAAGCCTGCACCAGCCATGACTGCAGTGAAGAAACTGAAAACACCTAAACTGCTGTATTCTTTTAAAAATAAGCAGACTGTGGAAGTTGTACACTTGCAGAAAAGTTGCAAAGAAAGTACAGCATCGCTTGCGCCCTTCCTTGGTGTGCCTTCTGTGGGGTCATGGCTGACACGTTTACCAAAGCTCACAGCCCTGCACCACGCTCTGCTGTGACCCATGCTCCGCCCCAGACTCGACTCCACCTCCTGCCACAGGAGAGCATGCAGCACCGGCCAGTCTCTAACTAACCAAGTTTCCCTGCAGTTACGACATTGACTTAAATCTCTGAAAGGCTCAGAACTTAAAAACTGTATTCACTAAAAAAGGTAAAAGGGAATAGGTAATAGGTCAGCCACCCCAGGACCCTCTACAACAGAGTAGGACTCTCAGCCCCTCCTGCTGACACTGGCTCCTATGACGTGAATGCCCAGCCATCACGAGGCTATTCTGCTTCACACATTCCCAACCAGCATCAACATTCAGCTTCTCTCAAAAAAAGAAAAACACTTCAGATTACTGGACAGGCCTATCTGCCCTATGCGTCGCTCACACACAGCCCCAGATGGTGGCTGGAGGCCTCACAAATCTCAGCGATGGTCACAGCCATTCACAGCCCACTACTGGAACTCACAGAGACCTCCCACCACCGTCTGCTGTGTAGGGCTGCTGCCTTTGTGGGGCCACTGTGTGCAGGACGCCCTGACTGGGCCCCAGCCCAGTTCACAGGCTCTTCAGAGGTTCACAGGAATGAGCTCAGTACCCAGGGTCCCCCAGGGCCATGCCCACCTGTCCGCTGCTAGAGACAGAGGAGGCTGGGGCTGCACCCCACCAGGCGGTGATCCCAGAATGCTGGAGGGACCCGAAGAGAGGGGAGAAAACAGCCAGCCCCACCAAGAGGCGCCCACACTCCCCTCTCCACCCCAGGATTTGCCTGAAGCTGAGCCCACAGCTCCACCCCGAGGGCTGAGGTCCTCCTCACACAGGATTTGAGAGAGAGAGAAAGAAAAAGCAGCCCTGACAGTCTGCCTGGCAGGAAAAACACCCTGCTTCTTGATGCAGGGTCATTGCAAAGAAACATCCATCCCCCACCACACACCTGCACACTCACCTGTGAACACAGCAGGAGGCTCCGAGCCACCAGGCTTGGTCACAAAGTAACAGATGTGTCCCGACGTGTGGCACGGGGTCGACAGGCACTTCACGTTGAGAGAACCCACCTTAGATAAAGTAGGAAATGGCATGTGCTCCCCAGACAGCCTGGGAAGTCCTTCCCAGGAATACTAGCGCAAGCACTACAGGTCCAACCATGAGCCCTCCACAGACCCCTTGCAGCAGAGGCTGCCGAAGTGCCCACGAAGGTGAGGACGGAGCTCCCGAGCAGGGCAAGCGTACCCCAGCTTGCCCCTCCGGAAGTCTGTTGCTTGCACGTAAAGCCAAAGAGCCTTGTTTTGCTGTCTCCTTCAAAGCTAGGCTAACTCTAAAGCAGACGTCTTGCTAGAAAAGATGATTTCCCTCCTGCGTGTGTGACCCGTTTGTTATCTCCTCTGGCCCCACCTGGCCCCCAATTCTTTATTTCAAAGATGCTCAGACTAGGAGGGCTGGCCAGACCACTCAGTGGTTAGAGTGTGGTGTTACGACAACAAGGCCCAGGGTTCAGATCCCAGCACAGGCCAGCTGCCAAAATGATAAAAACAAAGCTCAGGCCGACAGAGAAGGGGCGAGGGTAAGACGAGCGCCCACAGAGTGTCCAAACAGGCACCCTACTCCATGCTGCTGCACGTGTGAGGCAGCACACCTGACAAGCCCCAACACTCCAGCTGCGCCCCCCACCTGCACCACCTCACCAGCCTTATCTCACAGAGCCCACGTCTAAATATCCCTGTTGTCAGAGGGTTGTTTCGGCTTCCCCCACATCCAGCCCTTTTCTGCCCTTGGTTTTCCTTGGAATACTCCCGACAGAGAAGATTGTCCCAGCTGCCTGCCAACAGCCCTTTCCTGGGGCCCTGGGGGAAGAAAGGGGACGGCCAGCACGGGGAGGGCGTGCTCCCACTGTGCCCCCTCCCCACACTGTGCTTGAGGGCCTAGAGTCCGGGAAGAGTCACACTGGGGCCCTCCCCCTGGCTCCTGCCTTACCTGCAGCGTGGTCAGGTGTGTGACCTTGTGAGTCAGGGCCCCGATGCGGTCATCACCCCCATACACCTTCAGCCCAGGTTCCAGCTTGACCAGCTTCTCATTCCCACCAGCGTGGTCCCTGGAAGTCAAACAGGAGACCTGGGGTGACCTGCTGAGACCAGGGGCTTTGCTCTCTTGCCTTAAAGTCTTCACCAAATGGAGTTTTCATCTTGCCTAGTACGTTCCTCAGAAGTAGAAAACGGGAAACTGGCTTCTTGTCATTTGGTTCCACTGAAAACAATCTTCTCAGACACCCCACACCCAGGCAAGGGGCCAGGGCGCCCCAGCACCCCTGCCTATTGCTGTTTTTGGAGCAGAGGAACCAAACCACAAACACCTGGATAATCCCAAGGCCCCTGGCTCCCAAGCTTTGGGACACATGGGAATCACCTGCACATCTTTAACAGCCTCCCACCCCCACATCCTGATGCCACGGTTTGGGGTCTTGCTGGGGGGTGGGGGTGGGACTTTTGAAAGCTCCCCAGGTGATTCTGAGGTACTGGCCGAGGCTGTTGAAGCTGTAAAGAATGGAAATACCTGGGAAGCTCCTGGAATGATGCCGGCCCACTGAGGGCAGTGTGTCTGCTGTGGCAGACCGGCCTGACCTCAACCCCGCATTCCAGTGTGCTGCCAGGTGGGGACCTCCTGGGCATTCCTCCAGAGGCTCTGTCTGACCCAAATTTCAGAAGTGGGGGCAGGGCTGTGAGTATCCTGCACCTGCAGGCCTGGCTTTGGTTCAAGGATGAGGCCACAGCCTTCCCAGTGCCAGGGAACCGCTGCTGTCGTTCAAGCAGTCAGGACCCCTGCCTTGCTCCACCCCCACCAACGGATCTTTCATGTGCCTCAAAGACACACCCCATGAGGACTCCAGCAAGCTGACAAGAAACTGCTGGCCTCCGCCTAGCACAGCAGGGCAAGATAACAGGGTGGGGCCATGGCCCAGGCCCTGCAGCCTCCCATCAGGAGGGCTGCTCCATGCAGGCTAGGTAAGCACAAGCACTACACTTCAGCCCGCACTCCCTGCTGATGTTTTGACGTTACCACCAGTGAACAAGCAATAATACAACTTTTTATCTAGGGAGGTACAGACTGAACACTGGAGCTCAATCCCGGGCTTGGCTTAGAGTTTTACATTCTGGCAAAACATAAAGCTTTTTTTTGTGTGTGTGTGCTGGAAAATACAAAAGGCATCACAATATCAGAAAAGGGACATCTGAAGTGCGGATGGCTTGGTGTGCATGAGAGGAGCAGGGAGAAGCAAATTGAAAAGCTCCAGTAGCCAGCAGAGACTACCACCATGGTCCCCAGAAGCAGGGACAGCAGCAGGGGAGCCTGGCATGCAGTACCAGGCGGGCTGCTGAAAGAAAGAGTGGCTCTGCTCAGGAGCACAGGCCAAGAAAGCGGGTCCAGGCCCCTGTCCCTAGCGTTCGGGGCTGAGTATTAATGCTTCTGATGATGCAGAGGCTTGGCAGGTCTGCTCAAGGATGTCAGGAACTCCCTCGACTCAGTTACTGTTGGCGCTGTTTGTTTACACCAACCGTGGTGTTTCAACCACTTCACAAACCATGTCCATATGACACTCCCATTGAGAAGACCTTACCAGGGAGACAGAGGCCAGGGGGATGAGATGCCCCAGAGGGAAAGGCTGGCTGCCCTCCAGCATTTGTTTGGGAAAGAAAAGTAAAAGCCAAGTAAACTGACTTTCTAGCTTTGAAGAGCCTCAAAGTTTTCAAAAAGCCAAAGAAGGGCCTTGGGCAGGCAACTCCGGCCCTAGAACCCAAACACAGGTGCTTTTTTAATCCTTAAGCTTTCGAATATGTTTTAAAAACCTAACCTCTCTAAATATGGCTACTTTTTAAAAACACCAATGTCTAGACTCACTTCTTCCCTGACATCAAGGCCAACGTTCCATTACACAAGCCGGGAGAGCTGAAAGACAACTGCTGAAGGTCCTCCTGTGGCCCAGAAAACACAGGCCCCACAGGCACCCGAGGCCCTGCTCCTCCCCGCCTTCACAGGCCACAGGGCTCCACAGTCCAAGCATCTCACCTCAGAGTCACTGGTTACCAGACCCCACTACTCAGGACCTCCAAGACCCATGAGGGAAGAGAGCAAGACGCCGGGGTCCCAGACTTTCTCAGAATCTACCGGGGGCCTGTCCCTCACGTGCACAGTGGAGACACAGCTGTGAGTAGAGAAAAGCTTCCATGGCTCTGAGAACTGACCCAGGGCTCCTGACTTCCCCAGGTGAGTGACAGGTCCCCCACCTGTCAGGTGCCCTCAGGTGTCCAGCACTTACCAGTGGTGGTGGGTGGTGAGCACCGTGGTCAGCTTCACACCGTGCTTCTTCACTGTTTCCAAAACCTGCAGCCAAATGGGAGGCAGGACAAAGGACCCATCACTCACCTGCCTGCAGGGTGTGGGCCCCACGCGGCACCGGGATGTGCTATAGGGGCTGAGAAGTGCCTGGCACTCACCCAACTCCAGGAGGGCAGGCAAAGTGGCTGTTTTCTCTCTTGATAAACTTGGTGGCTCTCGGTCCCACCCACAACCTCTCCAATCCCCTCCTGCTCTGAGGCAACCATCCCTGGAGGCAGCACCAAGGGGCAGAATGCCTCCAGAAGGAGCAAAGTCCCAAGGAGAACACATGTGTTCCATGCCCAGAGATTTTAAGGACAGAGCGTTTTTCCTTCCAGGTGGGAGGAGCCTCCAGACTCCTCCACCTGCTCACTGGCCCCTGTTAACAGAAGTGGCAGAACACTAGTTTTTCCAAACTAAATGGATTGATTTCCATTTCGTTTCAACAAAGTGGCAAGGACACTGCAGTCATAAAACCCACTGGAGGAGGAAGAAGGTGCTGGCAACAGGGCAGCAGAGCCTAGCAGAGCCACACACCTTCTGGGGCTGCACCGGGTCTACGATGGCAGCCTCCCTGGTGTCTTCATCGATGACCAGGTACATGTAGTTGTCGGTCAGGGCAGGCAATAACTCAACTTTCATGGCGCCCTGCGTCACAGTCAAACTCTTCCTTATGTCCGTGTAATGGAGGAGCACTCCCAGCAGAGCTGGACCTGAGGACACAGAAGGCAGCCTTGGGTCAGAGGCCACGACAGGCCAAGACTACAAGCAAGCCCTCACCCCACAAAACAGGTGAGCCTCGATGCCCAAGTTCCTTTGGTAGAGGATATCCTCATTTAACCACAATCATAAGAAAAATACAGAAAATGATTCGTGCTCACATTCATGGAAATCAGCTGTTTCAGACTGACCTTTATATATATATTTTTTTTCCTTTTTGTCTTTTTTACTGACCGGTAATGGAATCGCAACCCTCGGTGTTGCGCCCGCACCGCGCTCAGCCAGTGAGCGGGAACCGGTCTCCACATGGGATCCGAACCCTCAGCGGGAGCACCGCCGCACTCCCAAGCAGCGCACTCTCCAGTGCGCCACCGGGCCAGCCCTGACCTTTATATTCTTTTTCGAGGGTTCTAAAGGGACAGAACTGCCAGCTTGAGGCTGTCACGCAAACCACCATGACCTCTGACCACTGCCAGTACTGTGGGGCATTCATACCCTGCCTCAGAGATGGCCCTTAAAGAGGGGAACGCAGAGTGGACGCACTGAAGCCTGGCTCTTCACCCTCCAGCGCACTGTGCCACTTCTCCCAGCCTGAGTCACACGGAGTTATTTACAGCCTTTCTCGGGCCTCTAGCCAGAGGAGGAAACAGTATGTGCTCTTGAATGGCAGGAACGAGACTGAATGATGCACAAAAATCACCAGTTCCTGAGAAATGGAGAGCTGGCCACACTTGTTCTAGATTCAAGTGTGGAGGATACAGGATCACCATCCAACAGAGCTAAAGGATTCTGCCAGGGAGGGCCAGGAGGTGACCAAGGGACAAAAGCATCCTCCACCCAGGAGACAAATGCCAGAATATTTTCAACAATGAAACTCCTCTTAAATCTAAAAACACATGGGCCCCCCAACAATAGTTTGAGTCTTAGCTTCAAAGGGAGAAAAGTGGGCTGGCCCGGTGGCGCACTGGATAATGCGCCACTTGGGAAGCGCGGCGGCGCTCCCGTCCGAGGGTTCGGATCCCACATACAGACCGGCTCCCGCTCACTGGCTGAGCGAGGGGCGGGAGCGACGCCGAGGCTTGCGATCCCGTTGCCGGTCCCCGGTCCGGTACGGGGGCAACACTGAGGGTTGCGATCCATTGCCGGACACGGAAAAAAGAAAAAAAAAAAAAAAAAAAGGGAGAAAAGTGCAAAAGGTGGCAGAAGACAGTGCAAGTTTGGGATAGGTGCCAGGATAGGGGCCTTTCCCAAAGAGATCCAGAAAGCGAGCTGCACCGACCAACCGATAGACTGACCATGTCCCCAGGGGCCATCTAAATGCGGAATTCAACCTTATTTGCCTTGGCCAGGGAAACTGCGCAAATTGCAGTTGTAATAAACGCACAAAAGTATACAATTCTCCCTTTTGAGGGCAGCTGGGCATCTTCCCTTCTCCTCATGTATGTCAAAATAAACATTTTTGTGTACTCAGATTTCTGTGATATTCTATCTCCTCTCAGATCCAGTACTATCCAATCCCAAGGAGAAATGTAGAGCAGAGTGTGGGTACTGTGGGTGGGGAGCAAAAGGGTTAAAACAGGACTCCAGTGTGGGAGCGTTCTTCCCTAAAGAGGCCCACTATATACGTCTCGTAGTAGAACGACACAAGCAAAAATACTGCTCAGGTGAAAGGAACATTATAACCAGTGCTCAATCTCCTCTAGGGACCATCAGAGTCTTGTGAAGAAGTTGGCAACCTGGGGAAGATGCATTTATATCTAAGAAAACAATTCACCTGGTGCCAGCACCGCCAGAAACCTTATTCCTTTTCCACAAATATCACCTTGCCCAACACTGCCTGCAAGATGCTCCCAGCTCACTGGTTTGCAACTGTGATATTCTGTATAAGCAGAGGTCACAGACCTGCCGCCCAAGGTCTGAGCCAAGTCCAAAAACATGTTTTGTTTGGCCCACAAAATATTTTCAAAAATCAAGACGTTTCACAACTCTGGCTACTCTTGAACTTCATGGCCTTCTGCGGCACCAAATGCTGGGACTGGGGGCGCCCTTTGCACCGGGCTGCCACGCCTGCCAATTCCCCAGTCCCACCCAGACTCTGCCTGGCTCCTGGCACAAAAACTCTTCGCCCCGACACTTTTTCTGGGGGGCGGCTGGCCAGTAAGGGATCGAACCCCGGACCTTGGAGTTATCAGCACCGGCTCCAACCGAGTGAGCAACCGGCCAGCGCCGGCCCCGACACTTTGAGGAGTGTCCCTAAAGGGGAACAAAACCGTGGTTCTGGGGACCTCAACACCCCAGCCCCTTCCTCAGCGGTGGCCTCACCCACTACAGGTACCCTACCCCTTTCGGCAAGAACCGCGGCGGGGGCGACCTGGCCGCCGCCGCCGTCCCGGCCGGCTCCGCGCTCCTGTACCTCTGCAGGTCGCGCACCCCAGCGCGCTGCCCCAGAGCCCCGGACGGAGCGGGCCGGGCGCCG